TGTTGGCCTAGCAATCTGGTGAAATTGGAGCACCAGCCATGCAAAGAGGTCAGGTATTGCTTGCTAAAGAATCTCATGACGTAAGCATTGCGACTGCTGTGTCTGTCTCATCTCTGCATTATTGATTCAGCGTTTTACAAGTGGAATGAAGTGATAACGGAGGGTAGGAATGGCACTGAGTAATATTGCTGTAGTAGACACTCCCCTTCTCCCAACTCCCCATCCTGCAATATTCTGCTCATGCTAGAAGGTCTGACAGTAACAGAGTGGAAAATGGGAGCCCCAGTGTTGGAGATTAGCAGCTATGGCCCTATATGCAGTTTCTATGTCACCAAGGGAAGACTGAGCCTTATTTAGTAACCAATAAGTGGAATATTTTCCACTGCTATGCCCCCAGGTCTGTGTGCTGTGAATCTTTGGGAGTCCAGGTTGCGACACATTAAATACAATCCCTTTGCTTCATTCCTGGCAAGTTTGCTCCAGGGGGAAACAGTGGACCTGATGTTCTATTGTCAGATTGTGCTGTACCTGTCTCATTGCTACAAGAGGACTAAATCCATTCCCTGGAATGAAGCCTCTGACCTCTCTTTGACCTTGGAAGTTTCTAGACTACAAGAGGAGCTCTAGCAGGTAGAAAGTCTCAATCGGAGACTGTAGTAAAACAGTAGAGTTACTGCAGCGTGTGTGGCTGTTACTGGGGTGTTGTGTCAGGTTGTGATCCCAGAGATGCTGCAGTGTGTTCTGGGGGCCGGGGAATTGCAGTGTAAGTGGGACTGGCAGAAGGTTGGTATGCAAATCTAAAATAAGGGCAGCCCTTTGGAGCTGAACACGCAGAGTGATGGGGTTGCTGCCAAGTTAGCGAATTGCTCTGAAAGCTTCCCTCGAGCTGTGTGTAGAGCTGTCATGGTGCCCTCTGTTGGCCAGCAGCAATACAAAAACTATTGGTCCCCAGTGAGTTCAGATTTTTCAGTGAACATGTTTCATGTTGGTTGGGAAAGAGAAACCTTTTTATTTGCTTCTCCGATATCACACAGCACTGCCTGTCTTGGAGGAGGGAAGAGGAATATTCAAGAAGGAACATTTCCTTAACCAAGAAATCAATCAAGACTGTAACATTTGTATGTTAGGAGGAGCCTGCAATGTGGGCTAGTCCAGTGTTGTTTCAAACTTTTTTTTTTTCTGGCAACCCAGTTGAAGAAAATTGTTGATGCCTGTGACCCAACAGAACTGGGGATGAGGGGTTTGGGTTGTGGGAGGAGCTCAGGGCTGGAGCAGAGGTTTGGGTATGAGAGTGAGGTCTGCGGGGTGGGCCGGGAATGAGGGGTTCGGTATGTGGGAGGGGGCTCTGGATTTGGGCAGGGTGTGGGAGGGGGTCAGGGCCCTGGGGTGGGGGTCCAGGCTCTGGGGTGGCGCTGGAGATGAGAGGCTTGGGGTG